AGAAAACCCAATGGGAAAAAAATTCTAGAAAAGGAAAAAGAGCACACATGTTTAGAAATGCGCCTATTGGTTGCCTCGTTAAAAACCTTACAAGGAAAACCCAGTGGGACAAAACCTTGTAAGGGAAAAAGAGTGCAACGCGCATCAACTCCCCCTGATGAGAGCATCAATTCACATCCTTAAGCATTTGCATTCCAATCTTGTGCACCATCTTCAAAAGATCTTTGGTAGAGATTTGATAAAGAAATAAGCCATATTAACTTGAATGAATATATTGCACCTTGAAATCATCATTCTTGATAGAGATGAATTATCTTCATATGATCTTGTTGGAATCGTCAGTTCAATATCTTCACATAGAGTTGAAAACTCTTGCTATCATATTATCATGCTTATAGTTATAGCAAGATACATTTGTGCACAAATTGCACTGAGGAAGTGGTACTTCGAGATCAAGAATTGTATATGCTTCAAGCAATTTAAATCTTTCAAGGGTCTCATAAGTTAAGCCATAGAAGTCATATAATAGACTTTAATTAGATGCATATCAAGGTTTCATGCCATGCTAGACAAATAAGATATCGAAAACTGATTGCACATATCATTGGCTTTATACTTTCAAGTATTTGAACTACTTGTTCAAAACTACATGTCTTTCATAGGAAACCAAATTCTACTTGAATTGTTTCTCCAGATTTGAGATCCTCATATATATTTAGCGCTATCATAGATGTCGTCGACAAATATTTTATATCAGTTTCAATATTTTTTTCATAAAGACATAACATAGAGATCTCTTCATTTATATTTTCAGGTACCTGAATCTCTCTTGAGATTTTATGAAGTGTTATGTCATGTGATCTTCTAGATCACTTGCCTCCTTTATTATGATCATTTGGATCATTTGCTCATCTTCTTTATCAAGAAGTTTATTTGAAACCGATTTGTCTATACGCTTTAAGCGTACCATAGACTTTGTCCTTCTAGGACATATTCTAATAGGAGCATTTGCAATGAGAATATAGTTACTTTCTTTGGGTCAGCAAATGCGTCTTTCATGCTTTGCAATATATTGCAGATGAATTATCCTTTTATGAACTTCAAGTTAATATTATTTTATTCGAGGATCTAGATGTATAAATGATAGTTCATTCCATGTAACTTTTTCTCAACTGTTTATCATGTCTCCCTCTCATGTTAGAAAATTGTTTCCTCAACTTTGAGAATCCACCTTTGTGCGTTATGGTGTTAATCAAATATACACCGCACATCAATAATAATAAGATGGAATTATTTGGTTCCTGATCATGAACCACTTGTGAGGGGAGAATGTAATATACTTTGGTATATAACGTATATCAAACTGATATAGATAACATTATTCTCATAAGCAATCGTTTAGCTATTAAGTGGAGGCACTCAATAAATCATTTTTCTAAACCAACTGTGATGTAAACCAACTTATCAAGATGAACTATCTTGAATAAAAAAATCTGGAAATTATGCTCTAAATCAAATTATTGAGCAAGTTACCTCGCAAACACCATGTTGCGGGTTATTAATAATCGCACATGTAACCATCTCATAGATGCATCTTATGTGGTATACATGGCAGGTGAATGGGCCCATATTCACCTTTGATATTTCCAGCATTCATGGGATTCGATCCCAATTTTAGTTGGTCTATTAATTAATGAGAACAAGCAATGTAAGAGAATTCGTAAAGAACATTCTAGTTCTTTAATATTTACCCATGTGAATTCTCATTTATTTTTGCACATCATACTTGAATTAACATGGCTAAACCAATTATGCCAACTGGATAAATTATCAATATTGATAAACTTCAGGTTTACACCATGATGTGTGCAATTATGAATAAACTCCAAGTTTATTATGATATGGATTTTTATATCAATAAAATATCCACTTCATTGTGGTATTCTTTTGTTTATGTAGTACAAATTGGAGAATAAAGCGGGTAGCTTTTCACATACATATTACCCCGCTACAAGTTGTAGTAATGGAAGATATTAAATCTTTCCTTTATTTATAGTCTCAATATAATCAACCGCTTTCGCGTATACTTTGGAAACTGAATAAGTTTCTTTGAGACTTACTACAACACAATACCTTATTGGTAATTAATTGTGTTTCTCCAAAATAGTATAATTGGCTCTTGCAGAGTTCTCAATTAATTTTGTAGTACCACATATTCATCAACACCCATATGGTGAATATCTCTTTTAAAGAGAAAGTTATACCATTATGGTTATGGTCAAAATTATATGCAAGATCTGTTTCTTGCATTACCGTTGTCTTTTAATAATCACAGTGCCAAAATATTTTGGCGTACAATAGGTACGTGACCAATGACCATTCATGCCATAATAATGACATTATTTCTTATATCATCTCAAACCTCCTTTTAGAGGTGAGTGCGGTATATTCACTACCACTAGCACGTTCATATTCTTTGAAGAATGAATATGTATTCATAAATCAGATGTTGTCACATTCACATCATGAATTGACCATAATCATCTATATGTGTTTTATAAAATCTCATGTTAAATCGATGACAAATATTTTCACAAAGTGGGGGATTATTTTGAGAATCCTTATTATTCTCATTATCACAATGATGACGATTATAATTTCGTCTATTGCCACGTCCACATCCATTGATACATTCATAGTGATAATTTTGTCTTCTTTCAGACTTATCACATACTGCTATCACATTTTCTTAGAGGAATGAGAATGGAGCAAATTCAATGGGACGGGTTTCCACTTTTTGTGCCCATAATCATACATGAATTTGATCATGGCAAGACATAGAATTTTTACCAGTTCAGGTGGTTATAATTTCTTACAAACTCCATTAGAGTTATAATCAAACTTTGTTGTCTTTGCTTGTATATAAAATCAAATTATAGAATTTCAAGAATTTAAAAGAGAAAAATAAAGTAAAATACTTACCTGAAATCCAGAATTTAATCATAAAGGAAGTTCATGGAATAATTGACAATCATTATGCTCAATCCCAAAACTTCTACTCAATTTGTTAAAGTCTCGTGCTGATAACGTGTTATAAAATAATAAATGAAGAACAAGAGTATTGTAGAAAAAAGTAGGGAGAGAGTAATTCTTATTAATTTTTGGGATGAACTACAATGGAATAAAACCCTCTATTTATAGGGAGATGGTGACTTAGCCACCAAGTAATAAACCCTACAATCTCTCTAAATATAGACATTCACCATAAATAAAATTCTATTTATAACAGATACAAAATATTTTAAAAAAATAAAAGAGAATACGAAGAAGTAAAAGGTAAGCTTTTTTTTTTTTTTCACATAAGGAAACTCCACGACAAAGTATTGTGTAATTTTTGTGTTCTTTATCCTTGTAGTTTATCGTGCATAATCTATTTTGCTTCTTTAATTTCCGTTTCATATGAAACTATTTGCTTGGTTGTTAAATTATATTTTATTAAACTGTTTCATAGTTATAACCGTTTCATGTGTTAACTTTTTAAATATTTACTAATTTAAAACATTAAAATTAACCATAATTTTGAACCATATCGAAAAATATTTAAAAATTTAAATTAAATTAAGATTTTAACTACCTTAAGTAGAGATTGCATTTATTTTGATATAAATTGTTATTTTCCAATAATTTATTCTTCTTGTATATAAGTATATTCATTAATTGTTGTAGTACACACATGCATGAACATACAATAGAACTAGTTATATATTAATTATATATAATATATATTATATATTTGTCGGCTATTTTTCTGGATGACGATTTAGGGTTATTTTGGAACTTCCAAAAATTTTCCCGATGTCGTTACTTTAGGCTAAATGGACTACCAACTAAAAGACATTGGCGCTTTTTCATAGTCAAAGCCTACTGTAACTCATTCCATACACAGGCCCACAATCAACGGGCCCAATCCGTAGATGAACTGAGGGCGCCACCCCTGAGTTACAACAAACAAAACTCCACAAAAATCACAGTGCAGGAAAAATTGAGAAGTAGTTGTTCTGACAGCTTAGCTAGTTTGCCGCTATAATTTGAAGGGCGTTCAACTCAGTAGCCTCTGTGAGTTTCTTTAGAGAACTGAAAGCTCCAATTTTCAAGCTAAATACTTCTCTACTGTTCTTGATATTTGTTCTTTATTCAATTCATTGCACTTTATTCTATCAGAAAATGGTATACGTTGTACTGTAGTCTGTTATGGAGAAACCCTTCAAATTTGTTAGCTATAGAGTTGGGATAACTTTTCCTCTGTATGATTATTTGGGTGCTCAGCCTTTAGTTTTTACTTTATGGGTTTTGGGTTATTACCAAAAAAAATCTTCTTTCAACCTGATAAATGAATTGGGTTTATTTGAAAGGCAGATTTTTTATAGAAAAGAAAGAAGCTTTTGCAGAAAGTATATTGGTGCTTCTTCAGTAGTATTAATGGAAGATTCTGATTCTTGTTCAAATGGTGAAAGTGAAAGCAATATGGAAAATGAAGCAGTAGTTGTTCCACTAAGAAAAATGTATAGTTGCAGAGGGCGAAAACTGTCCTCAATTGTTACAAGAATATGCAAGTCTTTGAGTTGGTAAGTTGCACATTCCTTTTAGAAAAGCTATGAGGAAATATGGCTTTTTTCGTTCGATAAATCCCTTTAATATGATTATTCATATTTTCGACGTTCGCGAGGATGCATATGGAAGTCCATGCCTTGCTTAAAGACATTGTTTTCTACTATCAGAAGGCTGGTTTTGACTTGTATAAGATATTCCATCTTTTTACTCTGCACACCCCATATAGTGCGACAACTTCAATTTTCGTAGCTGATGTACTTATCAAGGTGTTTTCTGCGAATAAAATACTTGATTGTGCAATTGATGTTGTTAAATAGGCAAGGAAATTTGGGCTTCAACCAAGTATTTATTCATGTAACTTTCTACTGAAATGTTTGGCAGAAGCAAGTATGAAGGAGCATCTTCTAAATCTATTTGAAGAAATGAAAAGCTTTGGGCCATTGCCTAATGTAAGGACATACACAATCCTGATTAACTTTTACTGCAAAATCTATCAAGGGATAGAAGAAGCCAAAAAGATTTTTGAAGAAATGCAGAAAAGACAGATTAGTCCTTCTACTGTTACATATAGTACATACATTGATGGACTTTTTAGAGTTGGAGAGGCTGATTTTGCTCTGGACTTCATTCGGGATCTTAGAGATAACAACAAGCCACTGAATTATTACCGCTACAATGCTATTATTTTCCGATTTTGTGCTACAGGTGAAGTAAATAAAGCTTTAAGAATTTTTGACGAAATGAAGAGTTTTGGAATTATACCAGATATCCATAGCTATAATATTCTGATTGATGGATTCTGCAAAAGCCAGAACGTCGAGAAAGCTATAAAGTTAATTGAGGAGATGAAAGCTAATAACATAAAGCCTACCGTAGTCACTTATAACTCACTTCTTATTGGATTCTGCAAAATTGGAGCGATGGAAATAGCTATTAAAATGTTTTATGAGCTTGAGAATTCTAGATACAAATATGATCAGACTGCTTACAGTATCTCAATAAATAGATTTTGTGCTCAAGGAAATCTCACTTCATCCTATAAAAGCTACTGGTGGAGATGATCAACAATAATTTGGCTTCGGATGATTCACATTATAAGCGATTAATTCGTGGTTTCTGCCAGATGGACTCCTCTAATAAAATGGAGTATTTAAGTATGATGGTACAAGAAGGTAACTTGCCTGATGCCATTACCTGCAATTTCATTGTCAATTGGTACTGTTCTGAAGGGAGTATGACGGAAGCTTTGCAACTGATTGATAAAATGGTAAACCAATGCATCACATCAAATAGGTATCGCTATAATGCAGTCATTAACAGGTTGTGCAAAGATGAAAAACCAGAAAAGGCTTTGGAAGTAATTCCAATAATGCTTAAGAGGAACGCGTTGCATGTTGCAAGTTGTAACACTCTTATTGATGGTTTTGCTAAACAGACCAATTTAAAAAAGGCTTATATGTTGCATGAGAAAATGCAAAAACTTGGGATTAGTCATGACATCATCACGTGGACAATTCTTGTGAACATATTATGCATGACAGGACAAGTGGGAAAAGCCAATGAACTTCTTAGGGATATGCTTATGATGGGATTGAATCCTGATACCATCTCTTACACCTCCATGATAGCTGGCTTTTGTAAAAATGGATATGTGAATGAGGCCTTCGGATTGTTCAAGAAAATGCCACATATGCCTTCTGTTGTTACTTATAATTGCCTCATTGATGGATGTTGCAAGGTACATAGAGTGGATAAGGCTTTAATGTTGTATTAGAGAATGCAAAAAGATGGGGTTACTCCAGACATTATCACGTGTACAATTCTTATTAAAGGATTATGCAAGAGGAGCAAAGTGGAAAAAGCCTATAAACTTTTCAGGAAAATGAGACCGGATCCTGATAAGGTCGCTTACACCTCCATGATCGACGGCTTATGTAAAATGAGATATGTGAGTGAGGCTTTCGAATTGTTCAAGGAAATGCCGGCGAAGATGCCTTCTGTTGTTACCTATACTTGCCTGATTGATAGATTTTGCAAGGAAGGCCGAATGGACAAGGTAAAAATTCTGCTAGATGAAATGCGAAGACAGAATGTCTCTCTTGATGTCAAAACTTGTAACATATAAAGGGAAATAATTGATTCCTAATATAAAGGGATACTCATTTAATTCCTAAAGTGTATATAATTGGTAACTTTGTATATAGAAGGTAATTAAATTAAAACTTGAGTAGGGAGGGTAATAAAGTTTCCAATAGTATATAGGTATGTGAAAATCCCAACCAAAAATTTCCCTATGCCGTTACTATTGGCAAAATGGACTACCAACTAAAAGACTTTGGGGCTTTTTCATAATCAAAGACTACCGTAACTCATTCCATACACAGGCCCACAATCAACCGGCCCAATTCGTAGATGAACTGAGGGCGCCACCTCTGAGTTACAGCAAACAGAAACTCCACAAAAATCACAGTGTAGGAAAAATTGAGAAGTAGTTGTTCTGACAGCTTAGCTAGTTTGCCGCTATAATTTGAAGCGTTCAACTTAGTAGCCTCTATGAGTTTCTTTAGAGAACTGAAAAGGTCCAATTTTCAAGCTAAATACTTCTCTACTGTTCTTGATATTTGTTCTTTATTCAATTCATTGCACTTTATTCTATCAGAAAATGGTACACGTTGTACTGTAGACACGGGCGTCTCCATAAAATCAGTGGCCTAATAATAAGAGACTTTATACTTTTTTATTTGTATATATACACACACATATGCAGAAAAAAGTTAGTGTTGCCAATTTTTTTCTACTTGTTATTTATAATATAACATTCTTAAATGATAAAACCTTTAACTTCACATAGTAGTATTTTTATCTATATTAGTAAGAGATAACTTAAATAAATAAGATGTTAGACATGTATTTTTAATATGTTACCTTTGATATTGTTGTAAAAAAAGTATTTACTAATATGAAGATTTAAGTAATTTAATTCAAACTTCTAAAGTATTTTTAGTGTTAAAGAGTAGATAATCTTCTTTCTTTCTTTCTTTCTTTCTTTGTTTTGTCCAATTTTTTTTGTACTTTTTTTTTTTGGCAAACTTTAATATTGTCTAAGTTGAAATAAAATCATAAAATCTATTATTAAGAAATTTTGGAAATCTAAGTCAATGCGTTACTAATCTCCTACTTGAGCATTCTCAATCAAATTTTATAGAGTCTCAATTAAGATAACACGACAATCAGTGAATGTGTTATTTAGTTACCAAATATGAATGAAGCTGATTGAGTAACACGTTCATAGGACAATGATCTATAAATACTTGTTGATAATTAATCATCACGGCTCAACGGAACTGGTGGCTTAAAACTAAAATATATTAAAAGACCCTGAAATTCTTTCATAAAATTCACTTAATATTGAAACAAAAAAAATGCGAGAGAACAACATATAATATGTAGGTTAGGTGCACGTTATATGGTATTGAACTATCCCCTATAAAGAATATAGTATTAAGTGAAAATGATAAAAGGGTTGAGCCTATAATCGATCTTGTTTTGAACCTTATGACATGTGTCTCGTGGATTTCTTAGTTTAAAAAAGTGAGACACAAAAGAACTTGCTTTCTGATGTGTGGATCAATCAAATGTGACAAAAAAGAATAATTTAGAGAATCTGAGTTGAAATTAGAAAGTAAAATAGTAAAAAATATGAAAAAAGAAAGAAAGAAAAATAGAATTGCTGAGAAGATAAATATATTATTTAATTTAGCGAGAAAAATGTTTTATCCTATTAACTCATTCAATCCTACCTCTATCAAATTTTAAGAAAATTTAAAATATTTTCTTAATAATTGTATAAATATATATATAATATTATAATACTTTACCCTAGAGCCGCCATTGACTGTAGACTGCGCCATTGACTGTAGTATTGGACCCATATGGAGAGGAGGAGGTTCACCGGCCCCCGGTAACTCCGGAAAGATTATCGATATATATGTGTATATACCTTCAAAATAGGATATATATTTCTCTGGGACCCCTCAAACATAAAAGCATTTTGGGGGCACTGGTAGGAGTTGCTGCTTTCATGCTGAATGCTTGAGATCAAATCTCTGCAGCTACACAGCCGCTTTCCATATTTATTATTTTTCAGTTGGACAATTTAATAGGGAGAAATTCAAAAATAGCCAGATTTACCACTGGTCGTTGAAAAATAGCCAAGTTTCAAAAGTCATCGAAATTTAGCCACTTTAAATCTGAGCGAAAACACTGTTCAAAATCCGGAAAAATACGCCCGCAAATTTTACGGGAGTTCCAGCATAAGTATGCTTGAACTCCCGTAAATTTTACGGGAGTTTCAGGATAACTATGCTGGAACTCCCTCAAATTTTACGGGAGTTCCAGCAAGTATAATTGTCCAGTATAATATACTGGAGTTTGGAGCACTGGTGCTCCAGTCTCCCGCAAATTTTACAGGAGTTAGCAAAGTATACCGGTCCAGCATAATATGCTGGAGTCCGTACACAAATGCACCAGAATTCCCGTATATTATACTGGACCGGTCCCTGTTGCAACAAAATAGTGGCTATTTTTCATTGACTTGATAAACGCTGGCTATTTTTCATTGACCAGTGTGAAAACTGGCTATACCATGATATTTTAACAATTTAATATGATAGCCAAATGGCCCATATTTTAGTTGGAAAATATGGTCAGCCCAAAGGCTCATATTTTTAGCTACTACCCGCCCATTCCTTTTTTATTTGCTTTACCCCTTTTACTTTTAGTTAAATCCCTAAATCAAAAGCTTACTGTCCAATTCTCTCTCTCTCCACATGACAACCCACAGGCAACCACCAGTGATTAGCGCCTAAAGCCACCGGATAATTTTTTCCGGCTTGACCCTACTGCCTACAAACACTGTTAAAGATAGTGGTGCCCCCGCTACCGTTAAATCGTGGGTCCGCCTCTTAGTAGACTGTTGTGGAGAAACTCTTCAAATTTGTTAGCTATAGAGTTGGGATAACTTTTCCCCTGTATGATTATTTGGGTGCTCAACCTTTAGTTTTTACTTCATGGGTTATGAGTTATTACCAAAAAAATCTTCTTTCAACCTGATAAATGAATTGGGTTTATTTGAAAGGCAGATTTTTTATAGAAAAGAAAGAAGCTTTTGCAGAAAGTATATTGGTGCTTCTTCAGTAGTATTAATGGAAGATTCTGATTCTTGTTCAAATGGTGAAAGTGAAAGCAGTATGGAAAATGAAGCAGTAGTTGTTCCACTAAGAAAAATGTATAGTTGCAGAGGGCGAAAGCTGTCCTCAGTTGTTACAAGAATATGCAAGTCTTTGAGTTGGGAAGTTGCAAAAGACATTCCTTTTAGAAAAGCTATGAGGAAATATGGCTTTTCTCGTTCGATAAATGCCTTTAATATGATTATTCATATTTTCGCGTTCGCGAGGATGCATATGGAAGTTCATGCCTTGCTTAAAGACATTGTTTTCTACTTTCAGAAGGCTGGTTTTGACTTGTATAAGATATTCCATCTTTTTACTCTGCACACACCATATTGTGCAACAACTTCGGTTTTCGTGTCTGATGTACTTATCAAGGTGTTTTCTGCGAATAAAATGCTTGATTGTGCAATTGATGTTGTTAAACAGGCAAGGAAATTTGGGCTTCAACCAAGTATTTATTCATGTAATTTTCTACTGAAATGCTTGGCAGAAGCAAGTATGAAGGAGCATCTTCTAAATCTATTTGAAGAAATGAAAAGCTTTGGGCCATTGCCTAATGTAAGGACCTACACAATCCTGATTAACTTTTACTGCAAAATCTATCAAGGGATAGAAGAAGCCAAAAAGATTCTTGAAGAAATGCAGAAAAGACAGATTAGTCCTTCTGCTGTTACATATAGTACATACATTGATGGACTTTGTAGAGTTGGAGAGGCTGATTTTGCTCTGGACTTCATTCGGGATCTCAGAGATAACAACAAGCCACTGAATTGTTGCTGCTACAATGCTATTATTTGCAGATTTTGTGCTACAGGTGAAGTAAATAAAGCTTTAAGCATTTTTGACGAAATGAAGAGTTTTGGAATTATACCAGATATCCATAGCTATAGCATTCTGATTGATGGATTCTGCAAAAGCCAGAACGTCGAGAAAGCTATAAAGTTAATTGAGGAGATGAAAGATAATAACATAAAGCCTACCGTAGTCACTTATAGCTCACTTCTTAACGGATTCTGCAAAATTGGAGCTATGGAAATAGCTATTAAAACGTTTTATGAGCTTGAGAATTCTGGATACAAATATGATCAGACTGCTTACACTATCTTAATAAATGGATTTTGTGCTCAAGGAAATCTCACTTCAGCCTATAAGCTACTGGTGGAGATGATCCACAATAATTTGGCTTCGGATGATTCACATTATAAGCGATTAATTCGTGGTTTCTGCCAGATGGACCCCTCTAATAAAATGGAGTATTTAAGTATGATGGTACAAGAAGGTAACTTGCCTGATACCATTACCTGCAATTTCCTTGTCAATTGGTACTGTACTGAAGGGAGTGTGACAGAAGCTTTGCAACTAATTGATAGAATGGTAAACCAATGCATCACATCAAATAGGTATCGCTATAATGCAGTCATTAACAGGCTGTGCAAAGATGGAAAACCAGAAAAGGCTTTGGAAGTAATTCCGATAATGCTTAAGAGGAACGCATTGCATGTTGCAAGTTGTAACACTCTTATCGATGGTTTTGCTAAACAGTCCAATTTAAAAAAGGCTTATATGTTGCATGAGAAAATGCAAAAACTTGGGATTAGTCCTGACATTATCACGTGGACAATTCTTGTGAACATATTATGCATGACAGGACAAGTGGGAAAAGCCAATGAACTTCTTAGGGATATGATTATGATGGGATTGAATCCTGATACCATCTCTTACACCTCCATGATAGCTGGCTTTTGTAAAAATGGATATGTGAATGAGGCCTTCAAATTGTTCAAGAAAATGCCACATATGCCTTCTGTTGTTACTTATAATTGCCTCATTGATGGATGTTGCAAGGTAAATAGAGTGGATATGGCTTTAATGTTGTATCGGAGAATGCAAAAAGATGGGATTACTCCAGACATTATCACGTGCACAATTCTTATTAAAGGATTATGCAAGAGGAGCAAAGTGGAAAAAGCCTATAAACTTTTTAGGGAAATGAGACCGGATCCTGATAAGGTCGCTTACACCTCCATGATCGACGGCTTATGTAAAATGAGATATGTGAGTGAGGCTTTCGAATTGTTCAAGGAAATGCCTGCGAAGATGCCTTCTGTTGTTACCTATACTTGCCTGATTGATGGATTTTGCAAGGAAGGCCGAATGGACAAGGCAGAAATGTTGCTAGATGAAATGCGAAGACAGAATGTCTCTCCTGATGTCAAAACTTATAACATAATGATTTATGGATACAAAAGACGTGGACAATTGGATCTAGCTTATGGTATGTTTTGTGAGATGATAGACGAAGGTATCTTGCCCGATGATGTTATCTTCGAAACCCTTAGGGCTGAAACAGATACCATGATGCCAAAATAAGACGGAATTTGCTAAGCTCAGTCCATAACATGAGGTGGCTTTTGCATGATATTAGTGAAAGTTTTACCTGGTTCTCGCATCTCATCAGTTTTTCTTTGGAAGTGCTAACTGGTAGGCACTCCTCACCAACTCACTATTCTGTTTTGCATTTTGCATTTCTGTATATTTATCTCCTAATTGTTAAATATGGAATTGCTTTCCTGACCGAGGAAAGGATTTTGCTCCTCTCATTTTAGTTCTGCAGTTTATGCTTTCCCTTTTGGTTTGGGTTTGGGGTTTGGGGTTTGTGGGGGATGTTTTGGTAAGTATCAAGAATTTAACTAATTGGCTACGTGTACTTTTTGGGACCATAATGTAAAGGGATCTCATAGTGTTTCAGATATTCTGGTAAGGAAATGCACAAAAATTGATGGTGCAACATGTGTAGTTTGTTAAAACGAAGTGCTTTTGTTTATCGTGAATGTTTGCTAGATTATTCTCATGTAGAGAACATAAGATATCTTCCATTCTCTTTGTCAGTTCAAACTACACCTTGAGAGTTTCAGTCAACTATCAAGAGCTGTGGGCTGCTAGGATATATCTTAAATAACCTTGTTAAGTTTCTTCTGTTGTTTCAGGGATTTCTTGATACTATAGGGAGAGTTGATTATCAGCTTTCTCATTGAATTCAACTCTAAGTTGGTTGCAGACATAAATCCTGGTGTGAAAGCTTTAATGCTGTAAGTTGCTGAAAAAGTTAGAAAATCATTATGCTACAACTTTACAGCACATTTACGGAATACCAGATGGGAAAGAGCTGGGTCCAAGCTTTGCTAAACTGAGTTTGGTTTTGGAAGCCCAATCAGCTGTCCTATTGGACATGGTAAGTTCTTGAATGAATAGTTTGCTATATAAAATTAGTCTGTTTTATGTACTGTCCTGAAATATTTGGTCATTGGCTCTCGAAAGTTATAAATGTGTAAGCAAAGAGAGGTCATTTTTCATTCAAAGAACACTGGTTTAGGATATCGGTTAACTTGATTTCAATTTACATTTCCGAGTAAAAAGGAAAGAGAAGGTCACCTACTGTGAGTATATTGGTTTATCTTGCTAAGATGCATAATTCAGAGCTACATGTATTACTTTGATGAACTCATTAGCACATTTATTTGTAGGGGTTTAGATAGCCATATATTCCTGGATATGGTTATAAGTTGGAAGTTTTTAAGAATTATTAATATTATATCTTTCGATAAGGGAAATTTCTGTATTATTAGATCATTCTATTTTGAAAAAATAACCCTTCTGTGTTATAGTTTATAACTTTAAAAACATAAGAAAGAGAAAACTAAAGAAAACCAGCATGTTCCAGTTATAAAATTTGGAAAACATTTACAAAACAAGACCTCTTTGAAACTTAAACATCTATAGCTTATGTCTTATAAATGAGCAGAAAGACTCTTTCTGATTGCTTCGTTGCCCCACTTGTAGCTTTAAATTGAATGCCTGTACGCAATAGTACTTGTTGCTTTTAGTCCAGCTAGTCAATTGAATTAATGTGTTAGGAAGCAAGAACTTGTATTTTTAAATTTATTCAGTCATTTACTCTTCTTAAGTCTTTCTATTAGCATCAAGGTGAACTTAGATAAAGCTATAGAATTATACTCTATATTTGAGCCATCTTTATGATCCTCATCAGTAGTTAACATTTGTGCAGACGGCAGGTATGGCGGAGTGTCATCCAACATATAGACTCAGTTTGTAAGCAATTCTTTTTCCCAGACAGTGGCAATATTAGACTCAGTTTTCAGTTCCTTGGTCATGATTTAATAGTTGCTGCATTCGCAAGCAATTCTTTTTCCTGGACACTTTCCACAATTTTTGACCTTGTTTAAGCCTGTTTAGTGTTTGATTCTAAGTATGCACTTGGCATATTTGTAGCGAAAGTTCAAATTAGCTTGGATCATCTCTGCAACCCGAAGCTTGATATTGAAACTTGAAAGTTGAGACCTATCTATTTCTCAAGATCTGTAAGTTAATGAAAGTGGTGATGAAATCTAGTGAATTATGAATGGACTTTGGTTCATTATTTGTTTTGCATAGTGCAGTTGCTGCCTCAATTTTACTTAACCAATGCTTTCGTGATGGTAGGTTTGATGATTTAGAAGGTCATAGCTTATACCGACTTGGAAATCCTGTTGACCTGACTTGTTACTGCTGAGGATTGATATGAAGGGTTGTAAATGGAGATCATCTCAATCAACAGAGTTTCAGCCGGAGTTATCTTCCACTGGTGAGTATATATGGTTGAGCTACTGTAATGTATTTGTTAAGCTGGACTGAAAATGCTGTAATGGAACTTTGATTTAAAGAATTGTTTCTGGACTTGGTGCTGACATTATACTCAATATTAGCGACATTTCTAGTGCAGAACTCCAAGATGAATTCTTCGGACTCGTACTACAGGTGGCATCAATCATAACTTATGAACACCTAAAAAACACTTTTTAATTGGGGAATCAATTAAATCTCTGATTGGTTCTACAATGTGTTGTTGCTGCAGGGGAAGAAAAACTTTGGTTTTGTCATGTTTGTGGCCATATGTGGCATTACGCAACTAATGTCATCCGTTCAGTCTCAATCAGTTGACACCCTAAAGCAAAGAGGGAATTACTTAGATTAGCAGTTTTTCAGTTCAGCTGCATCTAGATGGGGGAAAACAATCAAGAAACCTTTCAGGTTAACGGAGATGCTCGAAATCTGGAAGCTTAGAAACAGGTGGTTAGATCTGTTTTTGTTCGAATGAGTATATCAACGAGGCTGTCGTGCAGATTGCAGTAGTGAAGCAAATGGGGGCATCAAGATTTGGGATTTGAGAAACACCTAAGGTTACACTCTGAAGTTCCCTTTAGTGATGGAAGTTACTTTGGTTCATCACTATTTTCTTGAAGAAATTTAAGAGGGTGAGAGAGAACCGAGTTGTCTCCTGCATGCCTTTTAACTTGAAAATTACGTTGATGCATCAATTTTTCCAATGCAAATATTAATAGAACAAAACTAGGTATTGGTTCTATAACCAGGATACGAGTTGTATAACTTGTGTTCACAATCCTACTTTCATTTTCAGATATCTTTTCTATTCAATCGGATTCTCGGTTATTATAAAAACTGTTCTTAGTTTCTGCCCAGAAATGACTATTCTTCGTCCAAAGATAATAAAAATGTCAGTAACTTTCCGCAAATTTATTTCGAGTTCATTCTTAGTCCCCTTGAACACCATTGTTGCGGGTATTATTTAGTAATTTCAACCAAACAACGCATTATACATGCCGATTAATTTTTTTCTTATGCAACGCTGCTTTGTTTTACGGAGATTAAGTGTTTGTTGTGGGATCAATTTGAATACTTGACGACATTGATATTAATCACCAACTACCTTTATATTATAAATAATGAGAAGTGTAAAACATCATGGGATCCGTGGCGCAATGGTAGCGCGTCTGACTCCAGATCAGAAGGTTGCGTGTTCGATTCACGTCGGGTTCAATTCCCCCGATTCTCAAGGTCCCAAAGTTTTGCTTTTTTTGGCTATTTTTTTTCCCTACATGATTTACAGGGAACATCAAAGTAAACCACAAGATAGACATGAACAACTATATACAATATGTTATATTCAAAAAGTATAGAGGTGTAAGAATGATTAGCACTTTAGCAGAAACCTTTATGGAAAACAGCTGTATGTAATCTTTATTTGAATTATGCTTTAGGAATTTCAATTGAGTTGGTAATACTGGGATTTAAAAGGGGCAAAGTAAAAAATATTGCTACAGTCGAAAGATTACTACTTAAACCACCTTTATTCATTTATTTTTGACTTTGCAAGTGAGATTTAAAAGGGCAACCATATAAAATATTGCTGTAGAGGAAAATTTTACTATTTATAATACCTTTATTCACTTTATTGCACTAAAATATTTTTTTTTAACGAAAAAATACTTAATTTTACCCAAGTACCATGAAAGTCAATTAGACATAGTAATTTATTGAGAATAATTAATATGCTTTAGTGACACCAAGAACTCTTGTTGTGAAGTGGCATCAAGAGAAGGTGGAACTGGAAGTTTATGCAAAATGGGAGGAAATGTTTGTTCAAAGAGGAATGCCCATGTCTATTTTGATGGCTTGCATCCAACTGAAGCTATGAACGTTGTGCTTGATAACAAAAATTTTGGACGTCTAGGCAAACATATTTATGTCTAATGATTTGGGACGTAACTTGCAGTCAACTTGATAGTTTATGGGATTTTACAATTCACGCCAAATATCACATTTTGGTATATATGTTCTTCATCGGCGTGTGAGTCGAGATATGGTAATAGGGCTTTGCTTCCAATTTCAAAGTTGAAGTCTACCCTACAATTGTTAAACTACTCTCTCAAGTTTAAGACATTGTCCTTTGTCATGTCAAAGATTTTAATATAAACAACACATAATCACAGATTTTAATCGAACATAAAATCGATATTTATCTTTTGAAGCGTGACCGTGATCGCGAGAAGCCTCCAAGCAAGAACAAAACCGTCCACGAGATCATCCTCCAGTTCCACAGTCTTCTGCTGTGTGACCCGAATAATGCCTGGAATTAGCGAAATTCGTGTGGGCGAATTTCTCCTTGGAAAAGCATGTAGTAAAACCCTTGCCTCCTTATGGAATAAGACCTCTTTATATAGCCACAAGTTTTAGGGTTTAAAACCCTTTTCCCAAACCTGTCGGGTCTTCCTTTTCCACCAAGAAATAGAATTCCATTTAATTCCTAATTTTTCGGGCACAACAGGGACCACAATATTTAATTAACGAGGCTTCCTATTATGGACTTGATTCGAAATATTCGAATTAATACTACCATAATAAGTTATGAATTATTCCACTAAAAACTCGTAACTGCACTACTCAGTTCAATTTCGAAATTCTTCCATTAAATCTTATTTAACTCCCCATATTAAGTTTCAGATACTAATCAAATAAATTAAATTACTGACAATTTAATTCATTGATTATTTCCTTTAGACTTTCGCTTAATTTATTTCATGTGACGGATACAAAATTCACCTGCAGGGTTTACACATGAAAACTTATAAGCTTTCGTAAAGGTGTATCATCAATCTCTAGACCGAGACATGGATTCCATCAACTAACTATTACTTTGCCAATGTCTATTATTATTGTCCAATTTACCAGGCATATTGACCCACGAAAGAATCTCGCCTTTTCATAAATCAAAACAATAATAATATACACAACTAATAACAATTATATCAAGATTAAGAGTATAAGTACATTTAATGGCTAGAGAGTTTATTTTATTAAGTCAGTATAAAATATTTATCTCTACTTGGTCCGTTCAATACATACAAAATGTACAAGCACAAGAAGGTGGAATTAAACCATTCCCATAATCAAGATAAATTATCTTTAATCTTGTGCTACAATCATTCCTGATGGTTTGTCCAATTCCATCATTAGATTGTGAACATGATCTTTATACTTATAAGAACCGATGATTTAATCTTCCGTGTATAAGCTAAACTCTATACACTAAATCATCTACTATATAAGTAAAGGACACAGACGAATATATGATCTATTTCAAATTTTATTAAAATTGAATAAGCAATTGCTCCATAATAAATACTATATCCAAACCAAAATTCATGGTTAATAGTATATATCCCAACAATCTCCCACTTAGACTTTTAACCATGACAGTTATTAGAATATACTATGTCTAAATGCATGGTTAATAGTATATACCCTAACAATCTCCCACTTAGACTCATAACCATGCATATAACTTTCACAGCTATCCTTTTGCACGACTATTAAAAGTCTATGCCAATAAGTTTTTGCTAAAAGGAACTTGCCAAGTTATTTTCAAATGCAATCTTTGTCTAGGTGCTTTATTGTAATTAACTAGTTTGGTATTAAGCTCTTCAAGGATCTTATAATGAAACTCTCCCAAGAGTACGTACCAAACTATGATTTTTCTTACTATTCTCCCACTACGACGAAGTACTACTAATATTATCTTCAATACCTTGCGGTATTGAAATATTAATGACTTCTTCCTGTAGTGTTCTCTGCTCAACATCACTCCCACTACTTGGAGGTAGTAAATTTCTTTTTGTCATTAACGTTTCTCCCACTACTTAAATGCAATGGAACGTCAATTCCGACAAATAGAGTTGTATGTTCTTGAGCGTTTGAATTTTTCAGATTATTCATTTGTTATTTCTTTGCTCAAATCCTGTAAAACTAGTTTACTTCTAGGAACATAGTTTATTAAATAATCCTATTATAGAGAACCGGTATTTGTGCTAATAATTACCTTCTTTTCTTTAGAAAAACCAAATAAACCTCCTTTCGTTCCCCTGGATATCCAATAAATGCGTAAACATTCATCCTTGATTTTATCTTATCTATTTTCCCTTTCAGTATATATATTGGACAATTCCATATCCAAACTCTCCGCAGACCAGAGTTACGTTAAGTCCACAATTCTATGGGTCCAAGATACTAATTTAGAAAGAACTAAAATCAGAATGTAATTGCAGTTTCTATGGCATATCCATAACGAAAAGAGAAATAAATCTGAATAACTCACCACTAATCTAAACATCTCCATAAGAGTCCTATTTCTTCTCTCTACCACACCACTCTGTTATGGAGTATCCGGTGTACACAATTGAGATATAATCTTCTATTTTGATAAGTAACTAATGAACTATGTAGAGAAGTGCTAATCACTTACGATCAGATCATAGTGATTTAATATATTCTCATAGTGCTTCTCCGTATCAAGTCTTAAAATCCTTGAATTATTCAAAGCATTCAGACTTACGGTGCATCAAATATATATATTCATAGTCTGAGTAATCACTTATGAATGTCATAAAAATACTCAAAACCACCTCTTACCTACATGTTCATTAGACAACACAATAAAAAATAGACTAGTTCTAACTTATCACCAGCTCTCTTTCTTTTGGAGCAGAAATGTCTCTTAATCATATTTCCTTCTAAATAGGGTTCAAAGTTGGTAGTGCCTCTACTTTCAATGAACCTTAAGGTTCATCATTGACCAACTGAAAACCTATCAAGATAATTATGACTTAAGACGCAAGTGCACGGATAAGCTTCACTCAATTTTGAAAAATATTTTCTCTTATAAGGTAGACTAATATTGTTCAGTTCAGAAGAGACATTAACAATAACAAGACCATGCATCCATGTACCACAAGAGATAAAATATTTATCAAGCTCAATAATGCAAGAGTTAGAAAATGAACTAGATATCCATCTCTTATTTTGCCTAAAAACCGGAATTAAATTCCTTATAGCGAATGGTACATACATGGCATCCATCAAATTAATATCTTATCTTGACCAAAGGAAATTTTTGACAAGTGATACGACAAACTACATGAAATCATTGTGGAGTTGAGATATACAACATTAAATAGATCATAATAAGTCAATTAACACTGAATAATAAAATTCAGACTGCATTCAATATATATACACACATGCATCTTGAGTAGCAAATTTCGATGGGAAAAGAGCCATTCATGCAAAGTATATTATATAATGCAAGAATTATACAATCCAAAAAAGAAACAGAACCAACTCAGATGGAGAGCAAACTGTTATTTTTAGCCAATTGTATATATCATAACTAATAGCTCTAGTTCCATTGATCCAGCATGTATACTCAGATGGAGAGTAAGTACATGATATCAATAACTAGTATTTCACCTCGTGAGCTTACAAAAAATTTATCCGATATGGAGGAAGACCTAAAGTCAACGCGTAAATTTACACTCACTTGAAATTAATAGTGGAAGACCATATAAATATATTTCTATCACCACTTAATCATGGTTGCATTATAATTACAAAATTGATTCAACGTGTGAACTCAGATGAAGAGTCAATACATGTTATCAACTACTCGTAATTATACTCAGTAAGTTCATAATAAATTTATCCGATATGGAGGAAGACCTAAAGTCGACGCATAAATTTATTATCTTACTATAAATGAATAGTGGAGACCATAGGGGTTAATTCCTATCACCACTTGATCACAACCACGAAATTTTCTCTAAGGATTAAGTTCCAAAATTCACAAAAAA